GAGGGGCTGGGAAGTTGGCTCAGTGGTAGAGTGCTAGCCTTGAGCAAAAGAAGCTCATAGACAGAGCCCTGGTCCTATGTTCAAGCCCCAGGATTGGCAAAAAGAAAGTCTCACAGACTTCTCTCTCAGAGCTGGATTTGAGCCTCAGTCCTCTGATCTCAGCCTCCTGAGTCTCTAGGATTACAGGTGTGAGTCACTGGCTCCTGACAATGGACTTTTTTTTTTTTTGGCAGTCACGGGGCCTGAACGCTGGGCCTGGGCTCTGTCCCACAGCTCTTCAGCTCAAGGCTAGCACTCTACCACTTGAGCCACAGCGCCACTTGGGGCTTTTTCTGCTTATGTGGTACTGAGGAATCGAACCCAGGGCTTCATGCATGCAAGGCAAGCACTCTACTACTGAGCCACCTTCTTTGCCCCCTAGGACTCTTAAAAGTTCTGAGAAGTGGAATTAGAATCAGAATTACAGATGAGGACACAAACTCAGTTTGTCTGAGGGAACAAAGTTGATAATGCCAGCATCTCACACTAAGTCTGTGAAACTCCAGACCACAGCTTCTGGTTGTCACCCCCACCCCACTGTACAGGAGTGAAGCTGGCAGTCCTTGTCTTTGGGCTGAATCTGGGTTGTGTGATGCTTATTTCCATTTTAAATATGAATGTCTGAAACAAACACTGGAATACTACTGGCTACAACTCTATCTTCTACCTTAACCCTGCATCTCTTGCAAATTACACATTTGCTTGGCCCTGGGACCCTAGAGTTCACAACTTTTTCCTTTTCTATTCTCTAGGCTAACAAGTAGTTATACAATCTGATTCTAGTCCTATATCTACCTCTGTTCCCTGAGTAACCTTGGACATCTTGAGGCTCAGTTTACTGTAAGACTCCTGTCATTTTAAATTTTGTTGTTGTTGGTGGTTATAGGGCTTGAACTCAGGGCCTGGGCACTGTCCCTTCTTTTGCTAAGGACTAGTGCTCTATCACATTGAGCCACAGCTCTACTTCTGGTTTTCTGGTGGTTTGTTAGAGATAAGAGTCTCATGGATTTCCTGCCCAGGCTGGCTTTTTTTTTTTTTTTTTGTCAGTCACAGGATTTGAACTCTAGGCCTGGGCACTGTCCCTGGGCTCTTCAGCTCAAGGCTAGTGCTTTACCACTTAAGCTACAGTGCCACTTCTGGCCTTTTCTGTTCATGTGGTGCTGAGGAATCGAACCTAGGGCCTCATGCATGGGAGGCAAGCACTCTACTGCTGAGCTACCTTCCCATTCCCCCAGGCTGGCTTTAAATCTTAATCTTCAGGTCTCAAACTCAAAGCTAGGATTATAGGTGTGAGCCACCAGCACCCAGCTAAAACAGTAATATTAAAAACAAGCAAACAAGACAAACTGATCTACCAATTATAAGATCTATAAGTGTATATTTAAGAGTGAGTCTTCATTTGTGGAGGAAAAATTTTGTTAGAGAAGGCTCTTGATGGGGCTAGGAAGGTGGCTCAGTGGTAGAGCGCTTGCCTTGCATACATGAGGCCCTGGATTTGATTCCTCAGCACCACATAAGCAGAAAAAGCTGGAAGTGGCGCTGTGGCTCAAGTGTCAGAGCACTTGCCTTGAGCTGAAGAGCTGAGGAACAGCACCCAGGCCCATAGTTCAGGCCTCAGGACTGACCAAAAAAATAAATAAGTGGGAAACTCCAAACCCCAGTACTGAAAAAAAAAAAAAAAGAAAGAAAAGAAAAAAGAAGGCTCTTGACTAAATTTAAATCATTAAAAATTATTTGTTCATGAATAAAATTAGCAATACAAACAAAAGAATACTAGAAATCAAAAAGATCAATCTAGCTGGGCGCTGGTGGCTCACACCTGTAATCCTAGCTACTCAGGAGGCTGAGATCAGAGGATCATGGTTCAAAGCCAGCCTGGGCAGGAAAGTCTGTGAGATTCTTATCACCAATAAAAAACACTAGAAAAGTGGAAGTAGCACCTTGGCTCAAGTGATAGAGTGCTAGCCTTGAGATGAAGAGTTGAGGGACAGTGCCCAGGACCAGAGTTCAAGCCCCACACCTGGAAAAAAAAAAAAAGAAAGAAAGAAAATTTAAAAAAAGATCAATCTGTTAATAATATACTTGGGTTGAAAACATAAAAATAAAATCAGGGCTGGGAAGGTGGCTCAGTGGTAGAGCGCTTGTCTTGCATGCTCGAGGCCCTGGGTTCGATTCCTCAGCACCACATAAGCAAAAAGAAAAAAAAAAGCCGGAAGTGGCGCTGTGGCTCAAGTGGTAGAGCGCTAGCCTTGAGCTGAAGAGCTGAGGGACAGCACCCAGGCCCAGAGTTCAAGCCCCACGACCGGACTCCCAAAAAAATAAATAAATAAAATCACAGGGTTTATATATATATATATTTACTCATTAGTTAATGAGCAGGGGATTTTCACACTCTTGTTGTGGGTCAAAAACATGATTACCCGCCGGGCGCTGGTGGCTCACGCCTGTAATCCTAGCTACTCAGGAGGCTGAGATCTGAGGATCGCGGTTCAAAGCCAGCCCAGGCAGGAGAGACCGTGAGACTCCTATCTCCAATAAACCACCAGAAAACCGGAAGTGGCGCTGTAGCTCAAGTGGTAGAGCGCTCGCCTTGAGCTGAAGAGCTGAGGGGCAGCGCCCAGGCCCAGAGTTCAAGCCCCACGACCGACAAAAAACAAAAAAACAAACAAACAAAAAACCATGATTACCGATCAGCTTTATAATGATACTACCATGTATGAGTTAGGAAATTTTGGGATTCCATGTTGTACAGTTGATATAAACTATATCCCAACAGGGCCCTTCCTCTGGGTCAGGACACCCCAACTCCTGAAGGGTGCTGAATAGGGACTCCTCCTCTGAAATGTCTATCTCAGAGCCCCAGCACCCCTGACTTCTGTCTCTGTCCTTCACCTAGCTGCAGTACCAGGGCAGCCCCTTCAGTGACCCCGGTTTCTCGGCCCCTGAGCTCCAGTTGAGCAGCCTACCACCTGCTGCAGTCTCCTTCAAGACTTGGCATGCTCTGGAGGATGGGGAGCGCCTGAACCGAGCCCAGGGAGCCTTCCTGGCCTTGACTCAGCACCTCCAGCTTGTGGGAGATGACCAGAATGACCTGAATCCTGGCAGCCCTATCCTGTTGGCCCAGCTTGGAGCTGCAAGACTCAGGGCTCAAGGCCTGTTGGGTAACATGGCTGCCATCATGGCTGCCCTGGGACTGCCTATCCCCCCTGAAGAAGATACTCTGGGGGTTGTTCCCTTTGGGGCCTCTGCGTTTGAGAGGAAATGTCGAGGCTATGTAGTGACTCGGGAATATGGCCACTGGACAGACAGAGCTGTGAGAGACTTGGCTCTGCTCAAAGCCAAATACCCAGCATAAAGGGTTAGGAGTTGCTGTGGAAAGCTACAACACTTCTTTCACAATGGACTTATCTGCCTTGCTTCTGGGACAAAAAGTGTGGGGGGGGGGGTGGAGGGGATGGAGCTGCATCTTATTTATAAACAGGGCTGTGTGCCTTGTCTTTGGGAATATTTCCTGGAAACTCATTCAATATTCCTTATTGCTTGGCCCTTCCTGCTCAGGTCCTCCCTTCCAGATTTAGACCGGCCCTACTTATCCCTTTTGTGGGTTATCCATTCAGTGGTTATCTATTTTCCTACTTTCTGTTTAGGAGCAGCCCCCTGGTCTTGGGCTCTCCGAGACCTTCCCTTTCCTATAATTTGGGGGAACTCCAGGGATTGACCTCTTATCTACCTCAATTCCTATGTGAAGATACTGTCTTTCTGAGCAGATAGACCTCCCTGCTTCTTGCTGGAGTTCAGTTCCTTCCATAGTCTACCTCTGTTCTGTGTCTGCTCTCCCTTTTTCTGTCTGGAGGAGCTTCATTTCTTGATCAGTGGAAGCGTAATTCTCAGCTGCAGCCACTGGGACTCATCTGCATCTGTTTCCTTCTTTTATAAATTTAATTTTTGTCAGTCATGGGGCTTGACCTCTGGGCCTGGGCATTGTCCCTCGGCTCTTCAGCTCAAGGCTAGTGCTTTACCACAGGAACCACAGCACCACTTCCAGTTTTTTTGAGTGTTTTATTGGAGCTAAGAGTCTCACAGACTTTCCCGCTTGAGCTGGCTTTGAACGGCTATCCTCAGATTCTCAGCCTCCTGAGTAGTTAGCATTACAGGCACGAACCACTGGCACCCAGCTATTTCCTTCTCAAGACACATCTCCTTCTTGTTCTGGGCAAACAGATGGTTCCTCTGGCCTAGATCTTTCATGAATCTCATTTTTGTGCTAGTACAGGGACTTGAACTCAGAGCCTCACACTTTTTTGCTGGAGGCTGACACTACCACCTGAACCACACCTCCACTTCGCTTTTTCTGTTTAATTGGAGATGAGTTTCTCAAATTTGTCTGTCCTTTGAACAGGGAGCCTCAAATATCAGTCACCTGAATAGCTAAGATTACAGGCCAGTTCCTGGCCGTATCTTTTTTTTTGGGGTGTGGGGTGTGGGGGTCTTACTGTGGCTTGAATTTAGGGCCTCACATTTTCACTTGGCTTTTTTACCTGTGGCTGCAGATTTACCTGCCTGGGCTGGCTTCCAGTAGTGAACCTCAGATCTCATCTTGGGTAGGTAGACTTATAGGCATGAACCTCCAACACCTGTCAGTACATCTATTTATATTGGGCCTTTTGGATGTGTGTGGAGGACCTGCCTGTATCCCAAAGATCCGATTCTCAAAATTGTATCTAGCCAGGCACTGGTGGCTTTTGTCTGTACACAGGAGACAGATCTGAGGATCACAGTTTGAAGCCAGTTCCAACCGGAGATTAGTTCCAATTAACCACCTGAAAACCAGATGTGGAACTGCCTTAAAGTGATAAAGAGTACTAGCTTTGAGCAAAAAAGCTCAGGAACAGTACTCAGGCCTCCAATCAAGTCCTATGACTGATACCACCCCCCTTCCCCCTCCCAAAAAAAGTTGTATCTTCATGTTTAGCAACAGTTAATTTTCAGTTTATTTTTAAATGTTTTATTTACAAAGAAAATATTTATTCTCAAATAAAACTTGTTCAAGGTGTCACCTTTTCTTACACAGACCTGGATAGGAGTGTAGGGACTGGGCACGGGGGACAGAAAGCAGGACATCCAGGGAGGAGGACAGGTGCCTTAAGGGGTGTGTGTATATGGGGGGGGTGTGGATCAGCACAGCAGGAGGATGACCCTGAGGAAGGTGGGCTGAAGTTTGGGATGGAGAAGCTGTCTCACTACAGGACTAGCAGACACTTTCTCATCCAGAGAAGGACAAAGATGATCAGAAACAGAGACCAAGCATCAACATCAACCACCTCCAGGAGAGGAGATTGAGATGGATACCTTATCCACATGGTAGATGAGGAAAAGGAGAGACAGGGAGATTCCCCCCCAAGAGACCCGGTAATAAAGGACCCAACAAAAAAACAAAACAAAAACAAAAAAAAAAAAGGAGAGAAAGCTGAAAAAGATGGGACAGGCGCGTTCTCCGAGAAGACAAGAATCTAGAGATGAGGAAGGCACAAAGCCAACTGCTCTGGTGTCTGCCGTCAGGCAGGAGCCCCGGACACCAGCTGGCCCAGGTCACCCTCGGTGCGGCTCACCCACTCGCCGTACAGGCCACACACGTGGAGCCCCAGCACTTTGGCCGAGAACCCCCCGGGGGCGGGGGCGGGGGCGGCTGCGGTGGCCGCCTCGGTCGGGGAACCCTGGGAACCATGGGCCGAAGCGCCCAGCGCGGCCAGCACGGTCTCCACGGCGGCTCCCAGGGCCCGGGCCTGGCGCGCCGCTTCTTCCAAGCGCCGCAACAGGCGCGGCGCGCGCGGGTTCAGTTCGGCCTGGCGGCGGCGCACGCCATCCAGCAGCACGGGCAGCGCGGCCAGCGCCGCGGCGTCCAGCCGCAGCCGCTCGGGCACCGGCAGCCCCGCGTGGCCTGGTGCCGGGGCGCTCAGGCCTGCCACCGGCAGCCGGGGCGGGGAGAAGCCTGGCAGCCCGAAGGGCTCTCCCTGGTGCTGCACCTGCAGAGACAGGGCAGCGGGTCAGCGGGGGGTGGGGGGGTGGGTTCCAGAGACAGGGGTTCTGTGGAGGCTGGTACCCTCCTTTCCTAAGGCCTGAAATGCTTCATCTTACAAATGGTGTCTCTGAACAGGGCTACTGTGTTTGAGATGAAACCCACTGAGAATTGGGAAGATGTCTTAGTGGTAGAGTGCTTGCCTAGCATGCATGAAGGCCCTGGGTTCAATTCCTCAGCACCACATAAACAGGAAAGGCTAGAAATGGTGCTGTGTGGCTCAAGAGGTAGAGTGCTAGCCTTGAGCAAAAGAAGCTCAGGGATAGTGCCCAGGCCCTGAGTTCAAGCCCCAGGACTGACAAAAAACAACAACAACAAAAATCACATGAACATAGGCTTTCTTTCAAGAATCATTGCCTGTGCTTCCTCATCCCTAATATGGAGCTAATAACAGTATCAACTCATAAAGTAGAGATGAACACACAAAGAGTTTAACGCAGGTGGTGACCACTAAGAAGGACAAACCTAAGTTCAAATCCTGTTTAAAACAGTTCCTGCTGACTACCGGTGGTTCATGCCTATAATCCTAGTTACTCAAGAGGCTGAGATCTGAGGATTGCAGTTCAAAGCCAGGTTGGGCAGGAAAGTCCCCATGAGACTCATCCCCAATTAACCACTCAAAAGTCAGAGGTAGAGCTGTGGCCCAAGTGGTAGAGCACTAGCCTTGAGCACAAAGAGGCTCAGGGACAGTGCCCAGGCCCCAAGTTCAAGCCCTACAACTGACAAAAAAAAAAAAAAGTTTCTGGCTGTGCCCTTTCCTCCATTTCCTAAAATCATTTCTCTGAGCTTCACACTTTGTGTGTGTGTGTGTATGTGTGTGTGTGTGTGTGTGTGTGTGCATGCGTACATGTGCACGCGCACATGAGTGAAGGCATGGAGCTCTTACTGGGCTTCCCGCACCCCCCTGTGCCCGTAAGGCTGGCATTCTATCACTTAAATGATCCTTTTTGCTGGTTAAACCGGTAACCAGCAAAAGGTAAGAGTTTCAAAGTATTTGTCTGCCAAGGCTGGTTTCAAACCCAGGATCCTTAGATCAGCTTGCTAAGTAGTTAACATTATAGGCAGGAGTCAATGGAGCCAGAGCCCAGCTTGAACTTCACTCTTTGACACCTGTACAAGAATGTCCTGCCATAGGGCTGGGAAGGTGGCTCAGTGGTAGAGTGCTTGCCTTGAATGCAAGAGGCCCTGGGTTCGATTCCTCAGCACTACATAAAGAAAAAAGCCGGAAGTGGCGCTGTGGCACTAGCCTTGAGCTGAGGGGCAGCACCCAGGCCCAGAGTTCAGGCTCCACAATTGGACACCCCCCCCCCAAAAAAAAAGAATGTCCTGCCAGCGGGTCTTAGAAATCATAGAAGTCAATGTGGGGACTCAGTCCTATTTCACTCCCTCCTCATCCTCCCCAACCTGTACCTGCACTGGGCAAGGATTCAATGAATACCTGTCATGGCCTTGAGTTCCAACCCCAGTACTACCCAAAAACATCAAAAACAAAAAATAAACATAAACAGTCTCCCAATAATATTGTGATAATGATGGTGATTTTGTAAATCAGAAAATTGGTCTAAAGTCAGTGACTTGCCTAGATAATCCATCTAGGATGTGGCAGATCTGTTATTTGAGCAAAGCTGGTTGTAGTACTCTATTATCTATTATAATTATTATATTATTATATATTATACAGCATAATCACATGACATATATTATGTCATATATGTGATATAATATATAAATAAATATTTTATTTGGTTCTTTATTTTGGTGCCAGTCCTGGGCTTGAACTCAGGGCTTAAGCTTTTTTGCTTAAGGATAGCACTCTACCACTTGAGCCACAGCTCCACGTAGGGCTTTGTGGTGGTTAATTGGAAATAAGAGTCACATGGAGTTTCCTACCCACGCTGGCTTCAAACTGAGATCCCCAACTCCCAGTCTCCTGAGTAGCAAGGGTTACAGGCATGAGCCATTTGCACCCAGCAGTTATTTTAAAATGTTACTGTTTCTACCCCAACTCATAAGTTTGAAGGCTTAAACTGTCTGATTCAAGACTACCTCCCTCCACTACTCCATAGTAATTTGGACACCAAAGTATCCTCAGCTTAATCATAGATATTGGCAGATCCCTTGCCTCCATAAAATCCCTTTGTGCAATAGTTTTTTCCCCAGTTTGAAACTCCTTCTTAGCCTCTCTGAATGTCCCAGGTAGAAGAGTTCACAGTTCACCTTGTTCAACTACCTCCTTTTCTTTTTTTGTCAGTTGTGGGGCTTGAACTCGGGCTGGGCACTGTCCTTGACCTCTTCAGCTCAAGGCGAAAGCTCTACCACTTAAGTCACAATACCACTTCTGTTTTTTCTTTTTTCTGTTAGTTATTGGAGATGAAGACTCTTATGGACTTTTCCTGCCCAGGATGGCTTTGAACCCTGATTTTCAGATCTCAGCCTCCTGAGTAGGTAGGACACAGGCGTGAGCCACTGGTGCCCGGCTCAACTGCCTCCTTTTATAGCCTATGAAGTTGAGGTGACAAGATCACAGTGAGCCTAGAATCTAGGACTCCTGACTCCCACATCAGGGTTCTCTTTGCTTTCTCTGGCTGCCTCTGATTTCCAGCACCTAGAAAGGAGCCTCCAAGCACAGGCAGAATAGCATTTGGATCACTGACAGGGGTCCTCCTCCAATTTTCTGTGTGGCCAGGAACAAGTCACTATCCCTCTCAGGAGCCTTAATTTCTAAGCTGGGAAAGAGGTTGAGAAAGCAGCTGATAGAGACCTCTGATCTGTACTTGCACATTCCCAGGCCTTTGGCACCTCCCACCCACATTTCCACTCACATATTCCTGGAGCAGCTGCTCAGCGTATTTGGTGAGGAGGCGGGCAAGGCTGTGTGTCTGCCGGATCTTGGCCTCCAAGTGGGGAAGCAGTGAGATTGAGGACTCAGCCTTGGGTTCTTCTGGTGGAAAAGGATGGAGGAATGAGGGCAGGGAGCCCACACTCTGCTCCTTGACCACCTCTCCCAGGCTGGCTCTTCCCCTTCTTAATCCAGAGACTGTGTTCTGGATTCTCTGGCATTCAAGCCAGGCAGAATCTGTCCCAATCTAACTGGGGGAAAATGAGGCACTAGACCTACCTGAAATGTGTTTCCTATCACCAAATCACTTGTGAAATTCTATTAAAGCCAAATTCAAATACTGCCTCCTCAATGCAGTTTTTACCTCTGTGTATCTGCTTTTACCAGGGATACTTTAAAGATAAGGCACATATGTCTATACTTCTGTGACTGCTGGTGAGATTCAGCATCGCTGAAGCACACAACCTCAGATTGGAATGTTCCTTTAAAGCTCATTTTACAGACAGGAAAACTGTTGCCCCATTCCCTCTCTATGAGAGAAACTAGGCAGAAGCCAAAAGGTGGATTCCCCAGGCCGAAGACTACATTTCCCGAGATGCATAGCGCGGGCGCCCAGTACAAACTGGGGAATGTAGTCTTTGCCTCGCAACACCCGCTCCGCCCTCGCTTCCTCTCCCCCCCCCCCCGCTCCCCTCCCCCCCCCCCCCCCCCCCGGCCGGTGCCGCGTCTCCCACCGCTGATTCCGACCAGGACTCTTCTCCTCTAGTTGTCACTCACTAGGGCCTGTGGTTGAGACAACCTTCTCTAACTGGACACCTTCCAGCCCCGCTAGTTCTGATTCTTTCCCAGTGCTCTGAAACCAACGTCCTGTCGGCCCTCCCTCCGGGAGTACCACCGGGGATCTAACCCTGCGTCCGAGCCCCTGAACCTGCAGCCCCAGCCCCGGGCTTGCTCTAGACCGTCAAGCCTGCCCTTTTACCCAACCCACTCGCTCCCCATGAAACTGCAGCCCCAGGCTTCCCTTAAGCCTTCAAGCCTGCCCTGCTGCCCAACTCACCCGCTCGTTACCTGACACCGGAGCCTGCCCCCCCCCCCCCCCCCCCCGCCCAGGCCGCTCCTCTCCCGGGCCGGAGGGGAATGGTGGTGGAGACCTGAACCCCCCACCTTCCAACCCTTCTTACTCATTCTGCCCTGGGGGACCCAGGGTCGATCCCTTTGCCCCTTACCCAGACTTCCCTCCCTCTGGCTCATGCTGGCCCCTGGCTGATCCCGGCTCCCTCCACACCCCCTTTCGGAGGGAGGGGGGAGGGAGAAGGGGGGAAAAGGGTAAGGGCGGGGCCCACACACAGCCAATCATAGCCTAGACCCCAAATATTCCCCCGCCACACACACTTCCAGACAAGATTCCTTGGCCCTGAGCTCAGCCATCCGCCTGCCTGGCCTAGATTGGTAAGGGGCCAGAGATGGTAGGCAGGTGTCAGCTCAGTGAATAGGTTCTGAGGCCTGTTAGGCTGCCAGCCCTATGCCCTACCCAGAGCGGGAGGCAGACACTTATGTGAGCCTTCACCTTACCAGGCCTAGCAACAGACTCCTCCCTCCCCACCAGGACGTACACTTTCATGTACTGAGTTTCAGACATCCTGACCCAAATTCTTGTATTGTAAGAGCAAGCTTCAGACACCTATACATGAGGGCTGGGAATGTGGCTTAGCAGTAGAGTGCTTGCCTAGCATGCATGAAGACCTGGGTTCGATTCCTCAGTACCCCATAAATGGAAAAAGCAGGAAGTGGTGCTATGGCTCAAGTGGTAGAGCTGTAGCCTTGAGCACAGAGAGGCTCAAGGACACACCCAGGCCCTGAGTTCAAGCTCCAGGACCAGCAAAAAAAAAAAAAAAGTCATACCCAATTACTACCCCCATTAACATGGTATAGAATGGTACACACTTAACCCCACGATTGTTTCCCAAGGACCCACTCTGACCTGAGTTCTGGGGTCGATCCATATTTAGTCTCCCTTGTCCCCCACACACCAGGAGCTCACAGTCTGATGAAGGAGACCTTAAACAACAGCAGTACTGAGTCTGAGAAGGAGACTAAGGAACTGTGAAGGAGGCCTGGGTATCTGAAGCTGTTGCCATACACAGACAGCCAAAGGACAGTAAAGCATATCACTGGCCGAGTGTTAGGTGGATCTGAAGCCAGACTATTGATAGGGGCCACAACCACCCAATTTACCAACAGTGAATATATATGGAGTATTTACTGTGTGCCAGGCACTAGTGTGTGTGTGGACTTCCATGTTACAGATGAAGAAATAGACACATATGAGTCATCCTAGGCCACACAGATGTGTGAAGGTCTGGTATTTTACTTCTGCAGTGTGGTTCCACAAATGCTGTTTTAACCATCCACCTAATCCTTAACCCCTTGGGTCAAGTTCACTTGAAAAACTCACAGACACATACGTCTGTTTTTGAATTAAACACATACACAGCAGCACAGATTCAGACATGATCCTATCTATTGACTGGCCAGTCTCAAACCAAGACACATTCATTTTCCTAAAACAACAACAAAAACAAAAACACTTTGTCTGGGCACCAGTAGCTCATGCCTGTAAACCTAGCTACTCAGGAGGCTGAGTTCTGAGGATCACAGTTCAAAGCAGCCTGGGCAAGAAAGTCCGTGAGACTCTTATCTCCAATTAACCACCAGAAAACTAGAAGTGGCACTGTGGCTCAAGTGGTAGAGTGCTAGCTTTGAGCTAAAGAGCTGAGGGACAGTGCCCAGGCTCAGAGTTCAAGCCCCACAACAGACAAAAAAAAAAACCCAAAAGCAAAAAGCAACAATTCTGAACTGAACTACAATACACATGTGAAAAGGCACACACATCAGAAACAACTTGAATTTTCAGATAAATATGAGTAAGCCAGATTCAGAAACAGAACATGCTCTCAGAAATCCCTTCTTTTCCCCTTCCAGTATTGAGGGTGACTGCTATCCTTTCTCTCTCAGTTCCCCCTTCCCCCCCACATCTATTGTGGGGCTTGAACGCAGAGTCTGGGCACTGTCCTTGATCCTCTTGTGCTCTAGGCCAACACTCTACCACCTGAGTCCCTGTGCCACCTCCAGGTTTTCTGTGGTTGATCAAAAGTAAGAGTTTCATAGGGACTTTTCTTTTTTTCTTTTTTTTGGTCCCTTCGTGGGGCCTGAACTCTGGGCCTGGGCGCTGTCCCTCAGCTCTTCAGCTCAAGGCTAGCGCTCTACCACTTGAGCCACAGCGCCACTTCTGGCTTTTTTCTTATGTGGTGCTGAGGAATCGAACCCAGGGCCTCATGCATGCAAGTGCTCTACCACTGAGCCACCTTCCCAGCCCTCATAGGGACTTTTCTGCCTGGGCTGGCTTTGAAAGGCGATCCTCAGATCTCAGCCTCCTGAATAGCTAGAATTACAGGTGTGAGCCACCAGCACCTAGCTTATCTTGACGTCTTACACCATAGCTCTGATTCATATATCTAGAACCATCAGAGTGTACTGTCAAGTCTGGCTTCCTTTACTCAGGTTTTGTTCATGAGACATTTGTTGTTCTGGTCTATATCCATGGTTCATATGGTTCCTGTCTATGAACAGGTTGTAATTCATTTTCCATTTGTCCTGTTGATGGATTTTTTTTTTTTTTTACAGTTTGGATCTATTGAGAATGCTATGAAAATTCCAGTATACCTATCTTAGTGCTCACATGTACACATTTCTGTTATGCGTTGACAACCTCGGAGTGGAATTGCCGAATCCTAAGGTTATGTGTTGTACCTAACTAGAAAACTGCCAGCTTTCTACCAGTGTCTACCAACTTTCACTACTCCAGAAATAGGATAACTCAGATGTTTTACTTCCTTGTCTACACGTGGTACAGTATGCTTTTTCCAGGTTTCCACTGGCTGGGAAGACCCGCTTGTACTGGGAGCGCCTGGCAGGTACTTGGCACTCCGTTGACTGTTGAAGAAAGTTGCGCAGCGTGGACTGGGCCGGTCGGCCCAGGGCGGAAGCGCGCGCGCAGGCACCGAGGCGCGCGCGCGCGCACGCCTGCGTACGCACACAGACTCACAGCCAGCATTTCAGGAACGCCCACCAGCCGCGGACGCACACCAGGACCCAAACCCTCCGGCACCTCGGCGCCCACGTGGTCTGAACGCACGGCCTCGGCCTCGCCACGCGCGCCCAGCCGCGGTACCCGCCCCCAGCTCTTCCCTCCGCCGCGGGCAGGGGGCGCTGCGGACAGGGCAGCCCGAGGGGGCGGGCCCGGGGCGGGGCGGGGCCCGGCGGGGCTTCCAGGCCTGCACTCCGGCCGCCTGCGTTGCCGAGAGGCTCCGGGGACGGGCCGGGGCGGGGCGCCGCGGCAGGAAGCGGGGCGGAGACTCGCGGAGGCATTGGGAGCGAGGGAGGGCGCGGCCAACTCCCGAAGGGACGGCCGGCGGCGAGCGCGGCTTCCCGGCCTGGCGCCGAGCCTGAGCCCGCTGGACCGACGCGGCCCCGCCGCGGGCTCGGTCCCGCTCCAGCCCCGCCAGCATGGCCGGCCGGACTGTACGGGCCGAGACCCGGAGCCGGGCCAAGGATGACATCAAGAAGGTGATGGCGACCATCGAGAAGGTCCGGAGATGGTGAGCGCTGACCACCCTCCCCCGCCCCCCGCTCCCGGGCCCTGGGCGGGCCATGGCGGGGGCCATCCCTCCAAACGCGCCTGCCGGTCCTCAGCGGTGGGGGCGCAAGTGGAAGGTGTATCCACGCCCACCCGCTGTGCCCGGGACCCACAGGCTTCCACTCGCGCTCCCCTGGCTGCTCCCGAGGTCTATAAAGCGCGGTCCCCAGCGGTGCCCATGCCCTCCTCACCTATGCCCCGCCCCCTGAGCGTTGACACTCCTCCCGCCAGCGTGCTTCCCTGCTGGGGTCCACAGCCAGGCCCACAGTGCTGCCGTGGCCCCCAGTCTACCCTTTCTCTAGTCGCGCCCCATCTCTGTCCTGGGATTTAGAGGGCTGTCTTTCTCCTTCTTTGCCCCATTAGCAAAACAAACCCTACAGAAATAACCCTGCTTATGCCCAGGTCTGCAGATGTGCCAGCTTGTGGGGGCGGGTGGGGGGGGAGAGTATCTCTCTCCTCAGGCCTCTCTGACCCTTCCTACTCTCCCACAGGGAGAAGCGCTGGGTAACTGTGGGCGACACTTCACTTCGTATCTTCAAGTGGGTACCAGTGGTGGATCCCCAAGAAGAGGTGAGCAAGACCCACTCCCACCAAATCCTGCACCTGCACAACCTCAGGCAAACCCTCCCTTGACTCCCACCTTCAATACCTACTCTGAGACCCAAGTGTCACAGCCCAGAAAGGGGCAGCATTTCTTAGCAACTCATCTCCATCTTCCTTTTTCCTGTCCCAGAACCGGAAGGTCATGATCTCTGCAGCATACACAATCTTTGTCACTTAAGGCAGCACCATTGGCCTCTTTGTGCCTCAGTTTCCTTATTTGAACAAAGGAGGCCTTGCAAAAGCTACTTAGAAAACTGGTTCTGATAGTATTCCTCTAACCCCTAGGAACGGCGGAGGGCAGGTGGAGGGACAGACAGATCTCGTGGCCGGGAGAGGCGGGGCAGGGGCGCCAGTCCAAGAGGGGGTGGCCCTCTTATTCTGCTGGACCTCAACGGTATGTAGGGATCCTGGAACTGGGGGTTGTGGTATGTGAAGGATGACATTGGGTGTCTCAGGCTAACCATCCCAGCTTTTGCTCCCACAGATGAGAACAGCAACCAGAGTTTCCATTCAGAAGGTTCCCTGCAAAAAGGCACAGAGCCAAGTCCTGGGGGCACTCCCCAGCCCAGCCGCCCTGTGTCACCTGCTGGACCCCCAGAAAGGGTCACCACAGAGGAGGCCCAGCCCCCACAGCTGGGTCAAGAGAGAGGTAGGACCATGTGCCTCTCAGAACCCTCTCCTCTGAGTCCTGCCCTCTCTAGAATCAAACCTATCCGCTTATCTTGTACCTGCTCTACCTGCTGCCACTAGAGCTGCAGAACTACCTCTAGCAGTGGTCTGTCTCATTTTTCTAGCTTCTTAGGATCTGTAGATAACACATCATCATGGAGGGTTTTTTTTTTGGGCCCAGTTGTGGGGCCTGAACTCTGGTCCTGGGCGCTGTCCCTCAGCTCTTCAGCTCAAGGCTAGCGCTCTACCACTTGAGCCATAGCGCCACTTCCGGCTTTTTTCTTTTTGCTTATGTGGTGCTGAGGAATCAAACCCAGGGCCTCAGGCATGCAAGGCAAGCACTCTACCACTGAGCCACCTTCCCAGCCCAATCATGGAGATTTTTTTTTTTTGGGTCCGGTCGTGGGGACTGAACTCTGGGCCTGGGCACTGTCCCTCAGCTCTTCAGCTCAAAGCTAGCACTCTACCACTTGAGCCACAGCGCCACTTCCGGCTTTTTTTCTTTTTGCTTATGTGGTGCTGAGGAATCGAACCCAGGGCCTCATGCATGCAAGGCAAGCGCTCTACCACTGAGCCACCTTCCCAGCCCTCATGGAGATTTTTATATAAATTTATTTCTTTGCTACAGTACAGTCTTCCAGAACTTCCATCTCAATTACCTTCTTCAGTGTCTGCCCTATACTAATCTTGTAGGCCAGTATATACCTTAGAATATTATCAGATGCATATGTTCCCAATAAGTAATTCGTTGTGTAAATAAGTAACAGATAATCATAGGAGTGATTAGTAACAATAAGGATAATTGCTGGTATTTGTTAAGTCCCAGATACCCTTCTAAGCAATTCTCATTCAATCTTATCTACAACCTTGGGGGGGGGGGAGGGCTGTGATCCTACTAGCACCTTATTTATTTATTTATTCATTCATTCATTTTTGCCAGCTCTTGGGGTTGAACTCAGGGCCTGGGCACTGTCCCTGAGCTTCTTTTGCTCAAAGCTAGCACTCTACCACTTGAGCCACAGTGCCACTTCCAGCTTTTGCTGGAGGGCCTTCATCCATGCTAGGCAAACAATCTATCATTAAGCCACATTCCTAGCCCCTAGCATTTATACAAAAAAGAGATGAGAATCCAGAGGAGTTAGTTCACAAGAGACATCCTGCACCTGAATCTTCCTCAGTTCCTGTCTTCCAAGCAGTTAGTCCCTATCTGGTCAGTATACTTCAGGCCTTCTCAGCTCTGCCCTTCTCAACCATCACCTGTGCCTGCTCCAGCCTCCTCTTTGGATTCCATGCACAACCACATGGATACCAAGAGCAACTTTTTCTTTTTTTTTTTTTTTTTGGGTCCGGTCGTGGGGCCTGAACTCTGGGCCTGGGCGCTGTCCCTCAGCTCTTCAGCTCAAGGCTAGTGCTCTACCACTGGAGCCACAGCGCCACTTCCGGCTTTTTTCTTTTTGCTTATGTGGTGCTAAGGAATCGAACCCAGGGCCTCAGGCATGTAAGGCAAGCGCTCTACCACTGAGCCACCTTCCCAGCCCCAAGAGCAACTTTTTCTAAAGCTTCTCATCATTCTGTGATTTCCTGTGACTTTTGACTCCTTAGCTTGACATTTCGAGCCTTCATAAATTGTGGTTCCTTACCAAATTTACACCATAAAATGGGCCTAAAGGCCAGGTCCTACATACTATCCAGCATATACACACATCTGATATAAAACTGGGCTAGGGTAGAGCTTAGTGGTGGAGTCCTTGCCTGGGATGCATGAGGCCTTTGATTCCACCCCTGGCTTCGCTAAATAAGTAAATACAATTGTTAACATTTACTGAGCACCTATTACATGCCAGATACTGTAAATGCTTTTGCCTATATTACTTCACTTAATCCTACCTAAAGTTGCACGGTAATTATTCTCTCTGTCCCCATTTTTCAGATGGGTAAACCAAGGTTCAGAGAGATTAAGTATCTTGCCCAAGGTCAGGGTTTGAACTCAGTCCAAATATAAAGTCTACTCCTAGGGAGCTGGGAAGGTGGCTCAGTGGTAGAGCACTTGCCTTGCATGCATGAGGCCCTGGGTTCGATTCCTCAGCACCACATAAGCAAAAAGAAAAAAGCTGGAAGTGGCGCTGTGGCTCAAGTGGTAGAGCGCTAGCCTTGAGCTGAAGAGCTGAGGGACAGCACCCAGGCCCAGAGTTCAGGCCCCACAACTGGACCTAAATAAATAAATAAAGTCTACTCCCAAAGTGTATGTTCTATTTGCCTAAATTCTGTTCTTCTTCCCTGTTTGTCTACCCAATCAAATCCTACTTATGTTCAAATCCCATGTGACTTTTTTCTGCATCCTGGATGACAGCCAGGGTCCTGGCTTCCTCCTCTGGCTCTCAGAGTCTCTGCTTACATGATTGGTACCTGCCTGTGTTTGTTTTCCCTTCTGTTTGTACTACTGACTCAGAATGGCTTACTCAGAGCATGTCCTTTCACTTGCCATTTCAGACCCTGGGGGCACACCTACAGGCAGCACTGATGACCCCCCCATGCTCACCAAGGAGGAGCCTGTTCCAGAATTGCTGGAAGCAGAGGTGAGAGAGGCCAAAAGGCTGGACTCCTGGGTCTTGGAGGGAATGAGGTTCTGGGGCACTGGGAGACTGAGGTCCAAAAGGGAGATACGGACCCAGGACCCAGCTAAAGGCTTAGGGGCCAGATTCTTGGGACTGAAAGGGTGTTTTAGAGACAATGTTGTGAGGGCTGGAATAGGGTGAATTGAAGACCAGTAAAAGAGTGAAAAGAGCATGGTGATCCTCCATGTAATTAAATCAAAAAAATCCCAGATTGGAAGTATAGCTCAGTGGTAGAGTGCATGTTTAGCATGTACAGCCCTGGGTTCAAACCCCAGCATCATACCAAAAACAAATCAAAAACCAAAAAAAAAAAAAAAAATAACAAAACAAAAAACTAAACAAGAAACTAAAAACTAAACTAAACTAAAATTAGCTTGAAAAGCCCCTCATAAACCTGACATCTCTCACAAGAATTGCCTTGATGTATTTTCAGAAAGATCCAATTACCTCCCCAAAACAGCATTATTAATTGTTGTTGCTTTTGGTGCCCTTCTTGATCTGCATCGTGGCCACCTGGCCCTGGCTAGACTCCTGGGTCCGAGGGGAGTGGCATGGAGGCTGGAGAAGGAGAGGCTAGGAGGCTGCACTCCTGGGTTTGGGTGGAGCTCACGCCTGTCCGCCCTTCCTCTCCAGGCCCCCGAAGCTTACCCAGTCTTTGAGCCAGTGCCACCTGTCCCCGAGGCAGCCCAGGGTGACACAGAGGACTCGGAGGGCGCCCCCCCACTCAAGCGCATCTGCCCAAATGCCCCTGACCCCTGAGAAGCCAGCCTGCTTGTCCTGAAGCCCAAAGTGCCCCTTTGGCTTTTTACAAATAAAGACCCTTTTGTAATTCCGTGTCATGTCATTTCCCGTCAGGGCTGGGAGGGTCTTTGGAGACAGCTTTGTCTCAGGCTCCATTCCTCAGATGGGGGTCACCTAGCTCTGAGAGGGCCTTGCTATAGTCACACCATGGTCACATGTGCATGCAGTGGGGGCTTGAGCCAGGACCCTTCCTCTCCAGCACCCCCACCCTGCTCTTACTCCCTACCTTTGACTTTCCTCATCTACCCTCTGTGAATCCCAGGACCCCTCTACCTGCTCAGCCTTCCCCTAAACCCAACAACTGTCACCGTTTGGGAGAACAAAACCAGTGATTCCCATTTAACTCATAGGAACACAGACCCAGAGGGCACAGGAGACTGGGATGACCAGATCACTTTCCTACCCTCAGGAAGCTGTGGCTTCCAGCCTTCCTGCCTTTGCCAAATCAATCTCTGCCTGCCACTCCTGGCCCTCACATCTATCTGCTGGAGTCCTTGCCCCCCACTCAATCTCCACTTCCTTTTAGAAGTCTTCCGTGACCCCCAGGCTCAGTCAGCATCCCCATTTTTGAACTACCAAAACCACTTGGATTTCCTGCCCTTTGGGGACCATTAATCTGTCTCTGTCTTCTCCACCAGACTGTGGGTACTCTGAGGACAGAAGTAGATCTGGGCTTTACCTAGTTCAATGGCTGGGAGTAGGGCAGTTACAGCAGCTGTTTTGCGAATGAATGAATAAATTAATGGTCTGGGGCTGTCCAGGAAGGCTTCTTTAAGGAAGTAGTATGTGAGCTAGCCTCTTAAGATAAAGCCCTCAACATGGTAGATCTAAAGTCCAAAGTCCTGGTTCAAATCCTGGTTCTGTTATTCACTATCCATGTGGCTCTAGGCAAGTTATTTCTACCCTCTGAGTCTTGGTTTCTTCATCTGAGCAATTGGACAATAAATAGGCCTCACCTGCCCCATTGGCTTGTGGGAAATTTCAAACCATAAAGCTCTCCTCACTCTGTGCCTACAAGAATCAGGGTCAAGTATATTAGCCCATTTTTAACGAAAGAGAATGAGGATCAGAGAGGACCAAAGTGAGACTTTGAAGAACGATCTAAAAAGTAAGGGTGCCAGATACAGGTGGCTCATGCCTGTAATCCTCCCTACTCAGGAGGCTGAAATCCTAGGATCACAATTCAAAGCCAGCCCTGGCAGGAAACTGTGAGATTCTTATCTCCAATTAAACACCAGAAAACCAGAAGGGGTGCAGTGGCTCAAGTGGTAGAGCGCTAGCCTTGAGCTGAAGAATGCAGCGACACTGCCCAGGCTCAGAGTTCAAGCCCTATGACCACCACCAACAACAACAAAAACAAACAAAAAAAAGTAAGGGTGAACCTGGTGCTGGTGGCTCACACCTATAATCCTAACTACTCTGGAGGCTATGATCTGAGGATCATGGCTCAAAGGCAGCCCAGGTAGGAAAGTTCATGAAACTCATCTCCAATTAAACCCCCAAAAAGCCAGAAGTAGAGCTGTGGTTCAAGTGGGAGAATGCTAGCCTTGAGCAAAAAAGCTCAGGGCAGTAATCAGGCCCTGAATTCTAGCTCCAGGACTTGCACCCCCCCAAAAAAAAGTAAGGATGTTTTTGGTAGAGGCAGAGCTGGCCCAGGAGCATGTAGGGCTGGGATGTGTTAGTTTTCTGTGTGTATGTGTGTGTGTGTGTTTCCTTTTTGCTGTTAAGTTCCTACAAACTTAAATGGCTTAAATCTACAGTCATTACGGTTCCACAGCTCAGAAGTCCAATTTAGTCTCACTGAGCTAAAAAGGCATGCTCCTACAGGCTGTACAGAAAGCCTGTTTTCTGCCCTTTTCAATTCCGTAGATGCTGCTTGCAGTCCTTGATTTGCGGCTTCCCTCTCCCTCTTTGAATCTAGCAATGGAACATCTTCTAATCTCTCCTGCTTCTATTATCAAAATCCTGTGGTCCTCTTGCTTCCTCTTATGATGACATTGGCTCACCTAGATAAGTCCAAGATCTTTTCTTCTCAAGATCCTTAATTTAAATCCATCTGCAAAATTTCATTGCCGTGAAGATAGTATATTCAGGTTCTAGAGAGGGCCACTATTCAGGCTCCCATGTGTAGAAGTCTCAGCCCTGTTCTGGGTGTATAAGTCATCTTGTTGTTTCCCCAGAGATAATATGCATGTTCTGTAAAGTGTAAAGTACACTACATAGGTCAGTGGTACAGAGTTAAGGCCCAGGTTCTGGGTTTAAATCTCAGCATTGCATTCATTTGCTATCTGATCTTGAGAAAATGACTTAGCCTCTCTGTTCTCATCTGTGAAGTGCAGATAATAGTAACAATAGCCTGGTAAGATTATTGTGAAGATTAAATAAGGCAACTTGTAGAAAGGGAGAGAGCCCTTGGTTTAGCACAAAGTGAGTCAATAAGCAGCCGTGTTTCCTATTACCCCATTTTATAGATGAGTATATTAAAATGTGGGGACAGATGCTGGAGAACTACCTGAGAGTGAGGTTGGGAAGAATTCTGGCCCTGGATGAGCATCCTTGAGAATCTAAAGTTGAATATCCTCTCATCTCCCTCCCCTGGACCTAGGCTCCGTCCCCAAGCAAGGTCTGTCCCCGTATTGTCTGTGGCCTACTTCTGACCTGCTCTGCAGCTCACATAGTCACAGTTCTTTTCATCACTTGCCAGGCACTCCAGCTCTCCCTTCATTCACATGCTCTTCTGGAAATTCTTCCACCTGCAGCTCCAGAACCCTAGCCTCCAATGTCCTCTCTTCTTTCCCACTTTGTTTCTTGCCCATTCGTAGTGTCTCTTCCTTATCCTTAAGATCTGTTGTCCAGGCCTAGTTCTTCATGAATATCTGCCCTCTAGCCTCCCACCAACCCTCTGAGTTAATGTTCTTCAAATGATCTCTCCAACCTCTAGATTCAGAGAGGCATTTGACTGTGAAACATCCATTGGCCTGTCCACATCTTCCCTCCCAGCTAATTCCCACCATTTCCTCTGCCCAGAATTGCCCCCCTTTCCTAAGCCACTGTGTTCTAAGTCTCTCTCCTAAATGAGCTCTACATGGCCCTCTTCTGCATGGTGGCATGCTCTACTTTCTTCAGGAACCAAAAGAATTGTAGCATCTTCCTGGAAGTTTTTGTCTTCATTCCTGCCCATCTTCAGTTAGATTCTCAGGCAGCCCTTTACAAACCTACATCGATCCCTCTGCTGCCCTGCCAAGCCTTCTAATGCCTCCCCTTACAGGCATGACAGTGCCCATCTGCTGCCTTCACCCACCACCAGCTGCTCTAGCTGCTTAGATTGACCTTACATGTGCTCTGCAGAGTCACACCTCTCAGACCTAGCTCATGCTGTCCACTCTGTTAGGAGTTCCTTTGTGGTCCCCTTCACCTAGCAAGCATCTTCTTTCCTGTCCCTCCACCTACTTTTGTATGTTATGCAGCTCTGGTTGTGGCGTCATAGTGGGCTGTGTTGGCTTTGGTTGTAGCACCAGCCTGCAAGTTCTACAAGTGAGGAAATCTTTGAACCAGGGTCATATAGTTGTAGTGCATTTACTGTTTTCTAGACCCAGAAGATACATATTAAACAAAATAAAATAGAATGCTAGCTTACTGAGCATGGTGCTCATGTCTGTAATCCCAGCTACTCCATAGACATAGATCAGGAGGATCACAGATTGAAGCCAGCCTGGAAAAAAAAAAGTTAGGGGTCCCTTTACCCCATCTCAATCAATACAGCTGGGTGTGGTAGTTTAACACCTGTAATCTTGGCTTTAGAGATGGCATAGGTAGAAGGATCTTGATCCAAGGTCAGCAGAGCAAAAAGTGGAGGACCAAATCTAAAAAAATTAACTAAAGCAAAGAATGTGGCTCAAGTAGTAGCACACCTGCCTAGCAAACATGAGGTACTGAACTCAAACCATAGAGCTGCCAAGAAAAACATGGAGCCTGTTCCCAGCAAATTTAAGTACACTCACTGTTTAAGAATGGCATGCATTTCTGCCGGGTGCTGGTGGCTCACGCCTGTAATCCTAGCTACTCAGGAGGCTGAGATCTGAGGATCACGGTTCAAAGCCAGCCCGGGCAGGAGAGACCGTGAGACTCCTATCTCCAATAAACCATCAGAAAACCGGAAGTGGTGCTGTAGCTCAAGTGGTAGAGCGCTCGCCTTGAGCTGAAGAGCTGAGGGACAGCGCCCAGGCCCAGAGTTCAAGCCCCACGACCGACAAAAACAAAAAAACAAAAAAAAAAAGAATGGCATGCATTTCTGAGAAATGCATCTTGGGCAGTCTTATTACTGCATAACATCATAGACTGCCTATCAGCAACTAAGATGGCTACAATGTCCCTATGATAAAATCTTACAAGATCAACATCTCATATGTGGTCTTTTCTTCATGAAACATCAGTCTGTGGCCCATGTCTGTACACTGGGGAAAAAGAAGCAGAAAGAGGTGAGGAAAGAGCAAGTTGCAGTTTTAGAGAGGTTTTAGAGAGAAGGTCTCCTTGGCGAGTTTACCTGAAGGAAAGTTTGAAGGGGTTAAGGGCAGAGCCAAATGAATGTCTAGGGGAAAAGCATTCCAGGCAAGGACCAGTGAGTGCAAAGGGAATATGTCTTAGCCAGAACATGCCAGATCTGTGTGGCTGTAATAAAGGCAGGGAGGAGGAGGTAGGAAGTAAGTTCAGGTCAGGCAGAGTCTCACAGGCAGGACACGCATCTATGCAATCTGTTATCCAAACTAGGAGACTGAGAAAAAGAGAATAGTATTCACAATTATCTCCAAGTGCCACAGGTAATAGCGAAACAAGCAGAATGTCTGGTCATCCCATTTGGGAGGTCTGTTTGGACTTTGGCTTCCACTGTAGTTATGACAAAGAGCTACTGAAAGGCTATGAGCAGGGGGCTGACATGGTCAGACTTAGGATTTTTTACCCTAACATTTTATTAGAAAACATTTTAAAGGGCTGGGAAGGTGGCTCAGTGGTAAGGTGCTTGCCTTGCAT